CGGAGCGGCCGCGGGGGGGCGGCCCTGGCCCGCGGGGTGCGGGGACAGGCGGTGCCCGGGCGGAGGTCGGACATCAGCAAGCTGCGTAAATAACTGACAGCTGCAGGTACCAACCTGAGGGAACGCTTAGCACACGCGAAGGCATCACTGCCACCCCAGTTTTTCAAACTTTGGGGTTTTTTTTCCTAAATTAATTTTTTAAAAGTTAATTTTAAAAACTACAACTGACATAGGTAATCCAAAACCCTATATATTGAAATAAAGTAAGATAAAGTACAAGTCATCCCTGAGAATGGACTGTCACGAGCAGGCTTCCTCAGGCTCACCAGGCCCCAGGGAAATAAGGGTGGAGTGCTCTGTGCTGCATCACCACAGCCAGGCAGGCAGCAGCTTTCACACGGCGAAGGAGAGAAGGTGGCTCACAAGCAACATGAGAAACTTTTCAATGCAAATGCATAAAGTTGTTCATTGATGACATTGGACTCAAGTGGAGCGGAGGCTCCCCATTCTTCAACAGCTGTCAGCATACGAAGAGCTGGTTAACCATGGGTAGTATAAAGGCATGGTATATTTGCACCTAAACAGGGAGGGCTTCAGGCACTGGAAAAGAAAACTCATGTCCCATGGGTGCATACTTCTGTAAATAAATACATACACATCTCCCTAAATAATACTGCATAGCCCGTGTTCTATTAAACATTCCAAAAAGGCAAGATCTGATAACAAAAGGAGAAGCGATCTAGAAGCAGTGGTTGAATCCCACCTCCTGGACAATTCTGCATCCAGGAGCAATCCCAGTCAGATCACTTTTCCAAAATTACCCTGTTCCTGCCTCTAGTGACACTGAAGAGTCTTAGTGCCTCAAATAATCCATGGCATGAGAAGTGGACCAATAGTCCAGAGCTGAAACCTGTTACATTTCTGTCCACACTTTTGACTAGTATTTGGCCCTGGTAACAAGGAGACATTAGTTGTGCTTTGTAGCATCATAAGTGGCTGCAGCAGGAAAGATAGAGGCTGCTTACTGGTGTGAGGCAGTCTGCAGCATTTACTGCAAACCTAACAAGACAGACAGAAGGGATTTTTATTACAAATCATAAGCATTTGTGACTCAAGTGTATGCAGAGTGAGGGCATAAGCTCTTCTGGTGCCACATTCCACCATCATGGAATGTGTAGAATAAGCAAACAAAAAAATCTAGTGAAGAAAACAATCGCTCAGCAATTGATTCAAAACTTAACAAGGGCCCCAAATCATCATTTGTAAATAATTTAGAGATATTAAGATAAGGGTAATGTTATCATCTCCTTGGCCACTTTTCTCCCTTCTCTGCTTGGCTACTGTCATAAAATTTACAGCTTTGAATACTGCTCCTTATCTGCAGTTTCAGTTAAAATCTGCCAGTGAAGTTGAAAGTTTCTGGGGAAACAAGGACAACAAGTATCTTGCTTTCTTAGGAAAGTAGTCTGAAAAATAATCATATGGAGCTAGTGTTTGAGAACTGGCTTTGGGATGAACAGAGAAATCAAACCTCAAACCACTGTCAAGGCTTATACTCCTATGTCTGGACCTGAACTCTTGCCAGGAGTTTGGTGAGGCAGGCCCACCAAAGCAATGAAACAAAGAATTAACTTCCTGTCTCAGAACCTTACAAATATTTATAAATTGCCTCTTGATTTACTTACTCCATATTCACTCTAATTCTATTGTTGGCCTTGTACATCTTTTCCAAGAACAGGAACTGAATGATAATATATTGCAAATTAAATAATTGAGGGAAATAAAAGGAAATGGCACAGTGGCAGCCTCAAAATGCTTTCCTGCCATCTTCTGGATTTTCTCGATAATAACAGGGAGGAAAGGTCTCAATTTGCAACTTCAATTCTGGATTTCAGCAGTGGTGTGCCATAACAAGAAAACATGCGTGTTTGCAGAAGTATATGCATATTGTGGCTCTTAAAAGCAAGACCATCACATTTGTGATTCATCTCTGCAAGATAACCTGAACAATGAGAGAAAGGTGAGTAAGGGAAGTGCAGTGTCTTGGGAGGTGGGCAGAGTCATGTCAGAACAGCCACGCATACAAGTTGCCCACCCAGATGATGAAGGACATGCTCCTTATGACACAGTAACATGTTCTGGAAGTGATTGTTACCTTCAGTGAGAACTTGCAAAGATGAAACAGTCAGACTTCAACCTATGACCTCCACATAGAACACGGAATGTAATGTTATTCCCACCAGAAAAATCAAAATGGGCATAGTTTAGTATTTGTCTGCAGGAGAACAGAACATGCCCTTTGGAAAGTAAGACATTTGGTTCTGTAAGTAGGTGTCTCTGACATTTACTGCCAACTGCTGGGGACAGGTGATCTCTGCCATCCCTGGCTCCTAAAAAGGAGACTGCAACATTATAATTACTGCACACTACTGTAAGATTCAGGAGTTCTATAGTAAATCAAATAACAGATGATACATTGCCCTTATCTTTTACTTAATCCTTGTCATATACTTTCCTTCTTGACGTTTGAGTTAATACCTTTTTCTGATATTAAAAGATCAGGTATTAGAATTTATCTGAAGATTTCTGCTGCCAGCTTTTGCTGGTGAATTGATATGTTTGTCTCTGTTTGCACAAGTAATGAAGACTATAAAAAGAGTGATCCTTCAAAATGTAGAATTTAGTAGTCATAATAAAGGCTACAGAACACAAACTTAATTTTCAACTATCAAAAAATTAATTTAAAAAATATAAAAATATCAGGAGGAAGACAAGCAACTGAAACAAGCCCTACCTTTGCAATATGTATTCAGATTGCCTGACTAAGGAAAGGCTTATGTTTACTACTTAAATCACAAGCAACAGAATCAATTCACTGAAAATATAAAATAGCAGATTAACTTACAAGATACATCTCAGTGGCTCCAGAACTTATCTAAACAAATCAGCTCACCTGACTTGGTAATTAATAGTTACATTTGCAGTAATGCAAAATTTAGACATTTAATATTTGATCTAAAGGCATAAGCAAGTGAGGTTCACAGATACAGTGTTGTCATAAGAAAATTTCCTACCTTTATTATTAAAAAAAGTAGTATTTGTTGCTGCCCTTTATCTAAGCATTTTTTATTGATACACTTCAGATATCAGCCAATACTTATTCATGTGTCATTTAATATCCGAAAATAAGTCTTGATTTATTGAGTATTGCATATGAAATTGTGTATACACAGTGAAGTGTACCAGAAATATTTTATTCACATCAGTAAACGGGACATGTTTACATTACAATAAGCAAAGGACAAAATTTGTTCAAAAACTTTTATTTACTATAAAGACAAAAACCACCAAAATAGGTACAAATTATACTATATAAAATTGGTTCAGTGGGGTAAAAACTTTTAATTAAAATATCTTGATATATTTAAAATAACAAAGGATACATTGAAGCCAAATTTCTTAACCCAGAGATTTCTGTAAAATTTGTTTGCACAGTAAGGTGCTAATAGAAGTTAGCCCTTAAGCCCTGGAAGTCTTAGGAATCAGTCACATAGCAAATATAATTTCATTGTGAAAGTGAACTTTGGTAGAAGAAACTCTATAGGACACCTGAGGTAGTAGAAACTGGAATAAACAGCAGTAGACATTATTTACAACTTAAGTACCAAATAACATTAAGAACACAAAAAAAAATAATTACACAATACAATTTTCAGTCCAGCTTTGATCCAAAGAAAATAAGAATATTACATCACATCTGCATTTTAAAAACACCACAATTACCAGCAAGCTGAGGGAAATGCAAACAAACTCAAACAAATGCGTTTGGACACCTAGAGGCAGTTTAAATTTGAAATGTGGTAGGCATGGTGATCTAAAAAGTAATACTGATTAGCTGAGGTTCATCAGTTTATACAGTTTACATTTCTGCCAGAAACAGTATTAATCTGACAACTGATCTTCCAGTACATGAATTGGCAAGAGTGCATCCTTTAAAGCTTGCACGTAAGAAAGACCTGGAAACAATCATTAGAATGAGAAATTCTAAAGTGGTCAAAAAAAAAAAAAAGTCAAGTACAAAACAGAGCTACCAAACTTCACATTTCAGTATTATGTTTTTAACTCTTCAAAGTCTGCCAATCTTCCAAAACAAAGGAATGTAAAATTTCCAAAAGAAACACATTCACAACTAATGACACTGCTTTTTTTTTTGTTTGTTAGTATGAGCACTATCATTCCTGTAAACTTATCTTTAACCTGTTTTACTTCCAATTTGTATTGTACATTTTTAATGTACTATAGCTTATTTAGTTTGTCCTGAGTCTTTGAAAATAACCAATTCTCTTTCAGTCCAACAATCCAACTGGCCTCTGAAGAGTTAAAACATGAACAGTATTTTTTTTCCAAATGGATTAAACACAATCAATAATCGATTTAAAAAGATCCCCTTTAAAAAAATGCAAAAGAAAAGCTGCCATTTTCCTTCAGAATTACATGCATCAGAATCTAAAAACCTGCCTTTAAAATAATTTTAAAAACATGTTTTAAAAAAAACACACCTGCTAAAAAACACAAGTTTTACACTACAAGTGAAGCTTTACTTCACATTTTACTTTATCTTGCCTTTCAAGTCAAAGTTTTTTTCTTGTTAAAATAAATACCTTTCTTATGGTAATATTTTTAACATTTTCTAATTAAATTATCACTAATGGCTACAGTAAATAGATGATGTACGGCAGAAGGAAAACAGCAGGTAAAACTTGTTATCAGTAGAGAATGTGACCTCAGTTTCATTACACAAAGAATGAGATTTGTTCATAGATGACACCTGCTCCCACAGGTCAAAGTCTCCCATAAACTTTAATGGGAGCTGGGTTTGGGGCTTTTGATATTAAACTTCTCTACACAATTTGTGAGAAGAAACTGCTATATGAAAAGAAGGCTCAATAACTTTTAGCACGATTTAGACTAAGTTGGTTTATGCAGAACAATCTTTTTCCATTTTGTTTTTTTAAATAACCTGCAAGAGCCTTCAACACTGTCTTATTGAAGGTGACATTTTTTTCCAGATTTTCAGCAAATATGTCTCAAAGACTCTTGTGTCAGCAAGATGTTCTATGACACAGCTTGTATCTTTTTCTAAAGACTATTTTAAAAAATCACCTTTCCCTGAAAGTTAAAAATACAATGAAAACAAACTTTAATTTCAAAAGAAATTACATAGCCAGCAGTAAATGCACAGTGAGCCACAATTGCCTGCACTTACTTTAAGGAAGGCTAAATGTTTTTGTAAAGTATCCGTCAATGATTGGATCTGTTACTCAGAGAACTGTGTGAAATTATAAGGGACAGATACAGAACTTTCTTTTAACCAGTGCTGAAAACTGACTTAATTGCAGAATCCTCTGCTTACATCTACATGGTGTGAAATGGAACGGTGATTGCTGTATTAAAATAGATCCTGAGCCCCTCAGCTGCTAATATTGCTGAAAAAGTGCTCCAAATAAAATAAAAATCACCTATCTGCTAAATTCATGCAGATTTAAGGAAAAATGCTTTTGTGTTCACACAGAGCCAGATGTCTGAAAAGGCACGGTTTACAAATCTCTGCACAAGTTGTGAAAAGTTGCATACTGAGCTTAGGTAAAAATCTCGATTTGTCAATCACATACTTAGGTAGGGTCCTCCACTGGCCTTAAGTCCTTGATGTATCTGTTGTTAAGGCCAGCAGAATAATACAATTTGCTGTGCTTAAGTGCACTGCAAGACAGACAGATATTGTATATTCACTAGCATCTTCTTCAGTATATCTGCCTTATACATAAGTAGCTACCATGTAGTACGGAAGACTGGGTGTTTCAGCAGCTCCCTTGATGGGGGTCTGTCCTGAGGTTGAAGTTCTAAACACCGAAGAGTCACATCTTTCAAGCCAGGAGACAGATGCGTAGGGATTGATGGAGCAGTAGTTGCACTAGCAATCTGAACAAAAGCAAAATAACTTTTTAGGAGTCAGTGATTCTTGAGCCCCCTCTTCTACCCCAAAAACCTTTCACAAGCTGATCATTTTCAGCTGATGAGTTATATTTATAAGCTTCTCTCCACTCAGCATATTTCCTACTGCAGTTTGAAGATTACATTACTGCTTCCATTTTATAAAATAGGTCTTAAGTTTCCCTTATGCCTATTGCCTTTCATTCTGCCTCCCTCCTTGCACTTTTCTCTAAATTTTCTTCTTACAGCAAGATTCTGCAGGGACCATCTACTGAGCAAGACATAAAAGCTCTTCTGCCATACATATGGGTATTCTTTAGTCTACTAGTTGCCATCACTGTTAACTGGTATAAACCAACATGGAAATACATTAAGCTAAGTGATGTTACATTATGACATGTTAAGCTGGGTATGCTTTACTGTATTTCTTATACCACCCCAAAGGGCAATCTTTCTCGGATAGATGCAGATCACTCCCAATCAAATTAATTTTTACCTTCTCTTGATCAACTTTAACAAAGATGATTGAGAACACTAGAGCAGCACCACCAGATTCACACAAACACAGAACCAAGACAATTACATCTCTTATAACAAGTGATTTGTACTTAATTAGAAGATATTTAAATACTGCTGTGCTAGTTCTGTTTTGTGGAAAAACTTTCTTCCCTTGTGCTAGTGAAAATGCCAATAATTACTTTCTTCACTTGTGGCATTTTTCTTTATGCATGCCTACAGTTCAACTAGACTTTTAGAATTAAATATAGTTAATATTCATATAAAGCATGGCATAATGGTAAATATCTTTCAGCAAAATCTGAACATGGAACATTAGGTTTTCACCACAGGACATTTCCCACTATGAAATATGAATACGCACATAAATGTTTTATGGTACAAAAACTTCTTTTGCGAGTCAAGTTCAACTCTATTTTAATAATTTTTTTTTTTTTTTTTAGCCTGTTATACTCTATTTTGCAACAGTGCTTTTTCTGCGTAGTGTTGTGGTAGCCTTCTTTTTTCTTGAAAAGGCAAGTATGATTATGTTCGTATCAGTACTGATTTTGTACTAACAGCTCTAATATAAAGAACAGCTATTGCAACAACCCCTACTATTTATATACTTTTCTAAAAACATTGCTGTATGGTTTTGTAGTATATTGGTAGCAACAGAATACCTCACCTTGAATATCAGAGCAAGATGATTGGAGTGTTTCTCTGCATTCCAGGGAGGTTTAGCACAAGCCATTTCTATAACAACACAGCCAACGCTCCACACATCACAGCTCCTACCATATTGCTGACCTCTCAGAACCTGGACAGACAAATGCTCAGATTATCTGCTTCAAAGTCTCTTAAGTCAAATTTATTTAGATGAAAAAAAGAAAAAAAATCAAGTGCATTCTGATTAACATTTCAGGTTGAGAGAGTGATCAGTTATGTAAATGCCATAAAATTTATATAGCTGTAGAGAGCTAGTAAATGAAATACCTGATCAAGGGGCAAAATAGTTAGCTTTTGATGGTCATTAGGCTTTAGTAACAGTATTTATGGTAGATAAATCTTGTAACAAACTGCTTAAAACAACTTTGACAGCAAGAAAGAAATGTCATTATTGCCACGTTGGAATCCTTCTTATTCTTTAGAACAAGTACATTTAAAACATATTTGAAGGATTTACAGCAATTTGCTGTACGAATTAGCTTAAAGGGTTCAAACAAACTTTCTGAATTAACTTCCAAAACTGGTTTCTTACCTCTGGTGCCATAAATGCAATAGTTCCCAACAACTGTCCTTGAAACTCCCCAGCACCAGTTCCTTTTGATGCCAACCTGGCTGCAGCTCCAAAATCAGCAATTCTTAATCTATGACCTGTGCTGTCAATTAGCAAATTGGCACCTGTCAACAGCATAATAAAAATACTGCTAGTTGGCTTTTTATTACAGGAAAAAGGATGAACAGACGCTCTTCCTCCCTTACAAAACTATAAATAGGTTGACATTGCCCACCCCCAATATCAAGGAAATCTAAAAATCAAGAACAAAGTCTAATAATGTAATTTCTGTTATGCCTGAATGATAGTGTACACAGCTTGAGGCTGTCCAAAAGATTTAGAGAAGCTATTAAACTTTCAAAGTAGGGCAAACACAGGATTCTGGAACAATGCCTGGAGATGGAAGAATGAAAGAAAATTGTGACCTAAAACCCTGGAGGTTTTAAACAAACCCTGCATCTCTCTGTGAAATTTAAACTTACTTCATCCTTAACCAATTTTGAGTTGTCTTGAAGAGAATTAATTACAGAACAACTGAAACTTTTCCTATTTTAAGAAGAAATATTAAAGACAAGTATTTTCCATCACTATGTTCCTACTTATCTGGGTATCTCTCCAGTTCATGGATAGCTACAGTGACATTAAAAAGAAAAATTTAGTAAGACTGGTATTTTCCAATGATCTCCACATTTTGCTCAAACACAGTACAACTGTATTTATGTTTAATTAGGATGAAGGAAGAAAACTCATCACAATACCCCTGTGCCTTAGATACCTGACCTCTTTGTCTTGGCTTGGGCACAGATTTTGCTAATTTCTATGTAAACATTTATATTAATTTAATTATCAATCTTTAAGCTATATGGAAATTTCATATTTTATTTGAACAAATGGAGAAAGCCAATTTTTCTAAACTATCGGCATGGGTAACAAATATCCCTGAGCATTCTGATTAATTTCAGTAATCAAAGGTTCTTAACAATGATCAAACCCAATAGAAATACCCCTCCTGAAATCATATCTGAGAGAAGCAATAGGTCTCAAGCCAAAATAGATGCTGCTTTCTGAATATATCTTTTTAAAAGACACTCTAAGTATTTCTCACCTTTAACATCTCTATGGATTATCTGATTCTCATGAAGGTAAGAAAGGCCACGTAACAGTTGTTCTGTGTAATTAATAATAACCGATTCTTTGAAGGCTCCATATTTACTTAACAAATGAGCAACTGAACCCCCTAGAAGATAAAAACCCACATTTTGTCAACACTTACATTTTGTATTAATAGAATGAATGCAGCATTGCCTCCTAAAATTTGAACTTGGTATGCTCAATTTATAACTAGATTTCTCACCCCCCCCAGGCAAAAACAAAGTTTCATAGGCAAAACCTAATATACTTGGTTACTTTATTACTTTCTACCCAAAAGTGTACACATTAAAGACATATGTCTTCATGCTTCCTAAAATTTTATACTTCCTTAAAAGAACATACAAATCCCTTAGTGTATAAAGCACTGTTGCTGATAAAAACCTACACATTTACCCACATCTTGCATTAACATTTAATCAACAGAACACTAGTTTTTGTTGGGACAATAAGCTATGTGCAGCCTTCCCAGTAAGCATTCTCTCTGAAATCTTAATTTACTTTTTAATTAGTTACCATCTAAGTAGCAATATGTGAAAACAAGCAAACAAGCAAGGAAAAGCAGTATCTTCCTCTATTTTCTAAAACTGGTATATAGATCCTCAAGATCTGGATTTTCATTCTGCCTCTCAAAGCATTCTAATATAACTTGGGCTTGAATGAGGTAAAGACAATTCCTGATGTTTCATTACATAAATAATATTACTTCTGGAAAATTGTACTTTAAAAAAGTTAAACACCCTTAGTTTTGAGAAAGTATTTTCTGCATTACTGCTTGTAGTAACACACATTTGGGCTTTGCTTGTTAGCATTCTGGTATTGCTAAGCAGTTTCTGCCAAACAATGTAAGTTACAGTGCAGTGCTTTCTTTTATAAGAAATGAGTATGTATAAAACACCAAATCCAGTCTTGGTAACTGGAAGGCAACAACATATAGTCCAGTTAATAAAATTAATAAATAAATCTTGAAAAAAGGATACAGACTTTTTTGTCCCTGCTCTGTACAACAATGAAAAGATCTCAGTATTTGTTACTAAATTACCACTCAATATTTTTCCATAAGCATCCTGCTTACTACCTATTATTAGAAATTTAAGTTCTTAAATTAAATGCCTTTGCATGTCACCTCACACAATTTTTATGAAAATGCTTGTGACAAAACCAAGTGACAGGTATTCCAAACTTGCTAGGAGTTATTTTTAATAACTTTAAAAGTTACACATGTACACTAAAAATGCAAGTGTTTGATGTATTTCCAACTGAAGTGCCTGTCTCTCAAAGTTTCTAACTCCTCATTTAGATTCAGAAATTGAGGGAAAAGTAGTAGAATTTTTGTTCAGTGCTTCCAACTGCTTTAGTTGTATGACAGATTAGGTATGGAAAATTCTAAATCAGAAAAAAGATGCACCTGTAAGAATATTGCTAAGACCACTTAAACTGTTCTGTAAGTAGGTCTTTGTACTGGTTACCAACAGCAAATACAAATTTGCAAATTGAAGTGATGCAAAATACAGCATGAAACTACATGGTTCAAGACTCAACGGATACTTTCATTTTCTTTGGCATAGTAGTTACTTACCTGCCATCCATTCAATAAAGAGGTTATAATTGCTCTTCTCACATGTAGCACCCAACATTCGAATAATGTTCGGATGGTTCAGATGACTCATCATCCTTATTTCTTCTCTCAGTGCTTCAACTACTTCTTCTTGCTCAGATGATGTGTTCCTGACATATGTCACCTGTTTTGACATATGGTATTCAGACTTACCTTACATAATTAACAGTCCTGTAACCCCCTCTTCAGTACAGTAAAAAGAATGGATGGTTTTTCATCCCTTTTCCCCATCTAGAAATAGCAAGTATTCTTTTATCTTAAGTCGCTTCAGCTGAGAATGTATCTCCATGTGAGACAGTTATAGAAAATTAAGAGTGATCTTCTGGGAAAATATCAACAAAAACCTCTCCAAAGTATGGAGTGGGGAAAACTTTCTCTTCACTCTCCTCTGCTTAAATAAGAAAAAATATTTTTTCAGATGCTGAAGAAAAGGAAGAAAGATAAACCTGAAGTGTTGTTATTTGTAACATTTTTACCACTTTAATCATACTACCCATTTCATAACCAAGCCTCTAATCCCAGAAATTCCACTGGGGGAGGGAGAGCAGATCAGAAGTCTTGTAATGGAACTGAAGCCAACCCCAACTCTGATCCATCCTAAAGCTGAAATAATGGTATGCTGCAGAGAATTTCCCCTGGCTATCACAATCATCATTGTCTCTCCAGGAGGAGCTTTAAGACTACATGGACAGTTCTACTCTTTCATAAGCAACAGAGTTTCAGAAGAGGAATAGCTGACTACAGATATTCTTTCCCCAATTAGATGTTTTGCAATTGCTTATTTCCACAGGTATAAGTTCATTCTAGAATTAATAAGATTTTCTGTATAGTGGTATCACTGATTCAGAGCTGGGGCACCTTAAGTGTGAAAGATTTACTCACATCTAGAACCTTCAAAAATCTTGAGTGAAGAAAGTGCATTTGAGCCTCTTTTCTCACTCATGTTTCTCTATCTATTAATTTAATATTAAACATACTTGCCTCAAAGTTTACTGTTGGATCAGAGGGAACAAAGTGTTGAACTAATTTCCTCTGCTTAAACTGTTTCAGGAAAAAAAAAATCTTCACAATAGGGGAAACTACTTTTAATAGGTACCTTGCAAATAGGGCATTAATTTGGAATCAAGACATCTGGGCTCCATTCCTAACTGTCACTGATGTATGAACTTGATAAAAGTAGAAATGCATTTGAAGAACTATGAAAGAAAATGGGTATATAAAAACAGGTGTTTGTTTTTAATTTTAATGAGTGAAAAAAACTGAAACTATTATGTTAATACTTTTGTTAAGACTTTTTTTAAATGTATTATGTGAGAACACATGATATGGAGGAGAAGAAGCAAAGAACAAAAGAAGTCAGTGGGAGCGAAGAGCTTTTATATTTAATGTTCCAAAGAAATACTGAAGAACAAGCACAGAATATTCAAGAAGTGGAGTATTTTAAGTATTTACCTGTTTTACAGCCATTAATGTCCCTGTTCCTACATCTTGAGCTTGGTAACAGGAAGAGAAAGCTCCAAGACCAATTTGCTGACCTTTAAGCCATTCTGCATCTTCTCTGTAATGGTGTTTTGCTTTGGTATGTCCAGGCAGGGTTTCTGGTGTCTGCAATTAAAATTCCAAATCAATTCCATGTTTACTAGAACGCATCTAAGATGCAGATGTTCTGGAAGGTTATGAAATATCCAAGCTTATATGCCTCTCCTCTCTTTTACAGTTCTTTGTACGGCATGTTATACGTGTTTTAGCTGAGACCACCACATTGGTGTAGTCAGTAATCCACGTCCTCCCTACCGTATGTAAGAACAAAATAATCTCCTCTGTGTTACCACCTGAAGGTGAAAGAAAAGATTTAAGGACCCAAATAGGAGCAAGACTAGCTTTCTGTTCCTGATCCCACATCTAGGTAAGGTTTTAGTTAGAATCTACAGTAAACAAAACCAAAATCATGTTTTCTGCTTACTTCTCCCATTTTATGCTTCACATGTTGTTACCTCATGCAAAGTATCACAAATAAACCACTCCTCTATTTTTATTTCTTGTACTTTTGTCTATTTGTAAACAAATACTTTTTTTTTCTGACTTCTAAAGTATCTCATATCTCTCTCAAGCTGTGCCAACAAGATCTCTTCCAACCCTGCCTTTCCTTTCAGAAACTAGTTTGGTTTTGTACAATTGCCTTCAAAGTAAATCAGCATTAAGATGCATTAATACAGTTCTACTCCTGCTAAAAAACTTTTCTCATTTGCGGATTTCCCCACTTTTACACTTCCTTCTTTGCCATTTTAAAGGTTGGTACATGACACATTTCTCTTCCAAATACCTTTCCTAAAACTTGTTAATAACCATGGAAGGATTCTGTTAGCACCCTCAACTGGCTGACTGTTTATACTCCAAATCCTAGGAGAGGGATAGAGTACTTTTGTGTTTTATGTAACTTTGGAAATATAACAACACTGCTTTATAAATTCAGTGAGCTTCAACTGAGACTTATGCGAAATTCCCATATGTGTACTTACATCCTGCTGAATGATTATGATATCTTCACCATTTTCAACCTGTAGTTGGGGAATTACTGGCAGGGCATCTTGAGACGCTGACATTGCCATAGCAATAGCTAAAGCTTCCTCCTCTTCAGCTTCCATCTTTTCTTTGCATTTTTGATTATGATTTACATCATCTTTGTAAGTATCATCATTTTCCGCCCGCTCAGGAGAAAGAACTGCAACTTCAGACTTGAAAGTAACTGTGCCATCACTCGTTGGCATGGAGGCCTCAAGTAGGTCCTCAATACTGGAATTAAGCTCTGCATTAACATCCAGTCGACATTTTTCATCTACTGGTGTGAACACCGTCTCTTCACTTGGTATAACTGCACTGCTACTACTACCACTGCTGCCATCACACTGTGAAATATCATTCAGGTCAAGTGTCATACTGCTTTTTAAGGTTTCTCCCTGCTTGTTCACATCACTTGGGGTGGGTCGTGATGGCTTTGGCCTGCGTATGTGACTGGATGGCAATGGCCTGGCTTGGGTAAAAAGTGGAGAAAGTTTCTCTGGTTCTTTATTTTCAGAACAGTTTCTCTGAAACTGGAGAGAAAGTTTCCGCTGTGTTTGAGGAGAAGGTGAGGGGATTTTGCAGGGAATGAATCCCTGAGGTCTGAGTTTAGAGACATCTGTTACAGTGCCAGCTGGTACAGATGGGTTTGAAGGAGACAGAAGCGTTGGGAACAGTGACTGAGAATGACTGGATGAAGGAGAAGAGTTCAAACACTGACTCTGGGGTTTTCCTTTTGTTTGAATGGCTGGCTTTGGTTGCTCAGTGGATGAAACAGGAAGTCCCACAGTGAGGCCAGGCAGAGCCTCAGACACATCCTCTGGACTGGCACTCAGTTTTTTATCACTTAAGCCTTTGCCACTTTTCCCCGATAACTGGACAGTATTGTTTGGAGTATTACATTCTGTAGCTTCTGGAGAGTTATCTGGTACAGGTAGCTGCAAAAAGTCTTCATGTCGACAATCCCCAGAGTGCATTTCTTCCATGCCTAGCTGGATGGCTTCTTCAATTTCCATTTCATCTGCTATTGCCATCAGACGTCGACGCATCCTTGCATAATGAGTTGAGCTTGTCACACTCAACATTTCTAACAGCTTTACAAAAACATGGGGCACTCTTGCCACCATTCTTGCTGCACTCAAAAATACTCTCCGCGATAGTTTACCAACCATTGAGTGTGAATTATCAATTGACTGCAAGGCGAAAGTTAAGAGGGAGAGAAGTTTCTTATACCTAAAAAAAGAAAAGGGATGTTTTATACACTGATATGCTCTAGTTAACATGTTCCTAGAAAGCCATTTCAAGGTAATGTATTTAGCTGTCAATTCTGCAATAGAAAGGAGACATTGCTGCACTGGTGCTTCAAAATTCATTCAAAGGTCAGAAGTTTTAAAAAAAGGCAACAATTTACTCTGTAAAGTAAACACACTTTTGCATATAAATATATTCTATTTGTTTACATGAATTAGAACAACTATTTTTTTTTTAAGAAATCACCAACAACATAGTCAACTACAGTGAGTATCACATAGTATAAGCAAGTACCTGTCTACTACAGTATCAGCCTGTAAAACATCTCCGCAGACAATGTGGGGATAAAATTCACCAGGAAATTCCAACAGAAGTCTGTCTATTAGACAAAGTCGCCCCAGTAGAGCTTGCCAGTTGCTAGATTCGGTTTGGGTTCCGAGAATACAATTCAAGACATAATCAACACCACCAATACCAATGGACCCTACAAAAAATGTTGATAAGGATTAGATATGTTCACAGTCTAAATTCTGATCTAAATAAATATTAGAACTGTATCATACAGAAATACACACTGATTGCCCAATTTACTCCCCTCCCAAACTGCTGAAATACTATTCTCTTTGCCATGCTGATATTAGATAGACCTTGTATTAACTTTAAAACACTTCAGTATATTTGCTTGTAATTATAATTCAATTATATATTAGGAGCTATTATTACCAGATTTAAGTATTTCTCTCCCAATTGCCAGCTCGCCCGCTTGGCCTTTACACATCTCCAGTAGTGTTGAGACTGAAAGTTGACTTGTTCGACTGTAAGAAATACAAACCAAAAAGTAACTCTTTTAGCAGATGCTTTCAAAGAAAAACATTCTCATCATTGTATTTCAGTAATCATTAGTTTGGAATTGTCCACGGAAAATTATTTTACATCACTTTATTTCAGTAGATTTCTATAATCCTCTATCTGTAAACTACCAGTAGTTGTGACATTTTTTACAAAGTTGGTGGACTTCTCCATCTAGGTTACAGTACAGCTGAAGAAATGGTTGATCTGGCAGAACAAACGGGGTAGCTTGGGAGAGGAAGACAAGGCCTACTCAAGCCAGAAATGCCATTCACTCAGAATAGTCTTCTCCTAACACTACACTATGAAATAAAAAGTAGAAGTGTTATATTAACATTTCATGGCCCAGTTGTACAACAGCTTTTGTTGAAGTAGGAATCATACATGACTTTTTTGCTTGACTGCTTAAGGGGATGTTTAATGACTGCACCTAACATCTTCCTTTATTTTAGGGGTAAAAAAAGGCCTTACGAAAGCAAAGTATCATTTAAGATCTCTAAAGCACAATCAAGCGCCTTCAAAACGTACATCTTTCAAGCCTGAAGCTTGTTGGTAGCAATGAGACTCTAACTAAATCATGATATATTTATACTTATGATCTACACATTTTATTTCATCATCAACTATAAATGGTCTCCTAGTTTCACATAAATAGCAACAAAGATTCAAGATGTTTCAGTAACAATCAAAAACGGTTTTGAAGTCTATGAGACACCATACCTGTTGGCATCTGCACATTTAACTAGTATCGTCTCTACAACTGGCTTGAGAAGTTGCTGTAGTTTAGTCCTCTCTGCTAAAGTATGACAGGGAGTATATACCAGCATGGCTCTTAAAGTTTTCTAAGAGAAAGGAAAAAAGCAATATACAGGAAATCAAATTAACTACACAATTTATTTTTTTTTTAAAGTTGTAAATAGTTTTATATAAATTACATTCAAAATATCGAATGAAAGGATAAATAGCTTACTACATATTCACTGTTAGAATTAGTCACATATTCTTTGAGACTGGAAAGAACCTAGTCATTCAAGTACCGTTAATACTTAGCACTGTAGCAAGCATTTCTTTATATTTGGCCAGTGGAGTCACGCCATTTCACTCTCGCTGAGGATTTTGTTCATCCCACTTTCAGATGATGGTTGAAAGTTATCAATGGTGCTCAACAACTACTAGGATTCCTGGGTTCATATATCTCTTCCCTTTCTCTCACCTTCAAAAATGAAGTAACTTTGAAATTACTAGAATACAAGTAAACAACTACTTACTAAAGCAGCAACATACACTTTGTAGACAGGGTCGGCACAGACCATGGACAGCACACTGCAGCAGGATTCCACCACCACATCTCCTGAGATACTGGTCTGAGATGACCCACTAGCTGCTCCCAGAGCTCCAGCACTTGTGTTGTTTCCATTGCTACTTCCAGAATTTCCAGTGCTTTCACCATTAGCCAGTAATAGAGCACCACTAACATCATGGGAAAGACGTCTAAGTGCCATCTCTCGTATATTCCAGTTTCGAGAAAACAAGCAGCCAACTAACTCCATTCCAAATACCTGCCAAGGTGAAAGCAATGTTAAAGGAGTCCAACTGAATAACACTACAACTTAAGTACCTAAGGAAAGCAATCAAAAGAGCAAAGAAATGTTTTAGGTGAAAAATCACCTTAATAAGCCTGACAGCAAAAATATGTCAGAAGGTACAGTGTCTTAAAAAAAAGATTCTGCAATAGAAATGAAGCCTCATAAATGATACATCATTGGTTCTCCAAAAACTCTGTTAAGAGAAGTGGGAGGATGCCTATATAGATGGTTTCACTCACTTTCAATTTGAATTATTCGTTATGGAGTTTGTTTCTAGACCCTGATATAAACAACCTTGAATCCAAACCTTGAATCCAAGGTCCAGCTATACCAGACAAAGATTATAGCAGAAATACAGGTAGTACAAGGTCTCCAACTTTTAAGTGTGTGATCCCTGCTCAGTTGAATCCACCGCTAGACTCTAGAGGTTTTTTATGTCATTTGGCTCCCGCAACAGAACTTGCGGGTAACAGTAAGTGCCAACTTTGTATTTATGGGACACTTGCACAACCAAAACTAGAGTTAAGAACACTGTATTTTATTACATGGACCTTTAATATTAGGTGTGAAATAAAGTCTAAAATTGAAATTCCAATTAAAACAAGACTGAAAAGCCTTCTCTTCTGTTGCAAGTTAAGTAAATTATTTTCAATAATAATCAGACATAAAGCTGATGGGATTCAAAACAAATTTTTGAATTGTAGATCTGACAAATCTACAGTTCAAAATCAGAAGTTACCTTTGAAGCTTCTTTTACAAAGTAAAATTACCTGAATCCATGGCTCAGCTAAATCTTTATAGACAGAAGGGATCTGCTGGACTCCATAATGAGTAAGGTTAAAATTGCTATCTTGGGTTCTTCTCTGTGATACAGCTGTAGGTTGCTGCTGAGTTTGTTGCTGAACCACACGGAGAACAGAAGAATCCACAGGGCTTGGCAATTCGTGACTAGAGATTAACAACAAATAACATGGATTAACAAATGGAACATTTACTTAAGTAAATACTTCAGCAAATGGGTAGTTTGTTATACACAGACTGAATCCTTACCTATAGAAATCATGAGATCTCCATTTAGATCTACAAAGAGGACAGATAAGTGGCTCTCTATTTCTTCTGCATTCTTCTGCCCCTGGAACACAGCAATAGGAAAATATGTACTTAGTTTTACAGTGTATAAAACCAGAAGATGGCATTACTATTTCTAAACCTTACTGAAGAATGTTAGTTTCAGGATAAATGCTTCTGAACTAAGACATCTGCAGCAGCCTGATAGATATGGGCATTTAAACATTTTTTGCACGCAGAAATGACTCAGTTTAGCACTACAACTAATATTAAAATTATGAACTGAAATACAGTTCTTTTTGTAACTCAAACATAGGTAATATTTTTGAAAATTTATTAAAATATGGGTGATGCAATTTTATTTGTTAAAGCAAGCTGTAACTATTTATATAGTTGAATGTAGTATGCAAAAATACTCCAGAATTCACTGTATAAACCTAGTTGATAGTAGGTGACTTTCATACATTCTCATGACAAGTCACAGGGGACTAAAAGTCTGTTCCTAACCTTGCTCTAACTGGACATAATCTTTTCACTCAGGTAAGAGAGCTCAAAGCTCTAGCCCTACAGTTAAATTTTCTCAAAGCATCGAATTACAAACTCCATTTGTGAATAACTGATAAAATAAGGCATATCAATAGCACCCAAATGATACCAAACTGTCACAAAGAGCTACCAGTCATCACTTAAGAGCAGGTTTCTGTTTTTTTACTTCTAAACCAAACAAGAAACCTAATAAAAACACGCTAGGTTATAATACTTTTGCACATTTAGAGTCACCAGCACTTGACAAAGATGACAACATACATATTGACATGCAGTGGTGGTGTAATTTGTTCCTGCAGCCATCTTCACATACAGTTAGGCTCTCTTCATCCAGCATGCCTAACAAACAAATGGGGCACATCTGTTCTTCTTCATCCTTCATACTACAAAAATAGATATTTGTAAAAGTGGCATATCAGAATTCAGAACAGGCTTTAACAGTGAAAAAAGATTAACTTCCAGTTTGGAACAGTCACTTCTGAGTAACTATAGGCTATTCATGAATCATTCCCCTAAACTTTGGTCTGAATAAGTAAGCAAACACATTTTTAGGAGCACTGAGTACAGACAACACTTTGTTGAAATGAAAAGGAAAGTCACAAAACACATGACATCTTTTCAAACTAGGTCAGATACCAATTAGAGACTGAAAGGCCCAGCCTTGGGCACTTACTTTTTTTTTTTTTTTCCCCTAAAGCTTCTTTAAACAAACCAACCTTCACTTTTTTAGTTATCATTTGGTTTTGAAAAACAAGGACATTTTTATATTTTGAAATCTACCCACATTTTTATTCCATCACATTCTTTTCAGAGTAGAGTCACAAGGTAGTCTTTAGCCCATTACAGGAAATTGTAAATACTATTTGATGAACATATGTAAAACTCAAAACATTAACAGAAGGTAACAGCCACTCAAGAATTTTCTCCTACTAACAGAAATAGATGCAATAGATTCACATGAACACTAACATATCTACAGGTCACATGTAGATTTTTAAAAAGTCATTTTATCTGTTTTACATGTTCCTTCCATTTTATTTACCCCCACCTTAATTTTAGAATGGATACAACCAGAGATTTCGCCAAAAAAAATTATTATGAACTTAAACAATATGTAGTAAAAGCCACAGATTTTAATTGCTTGTAATACTGTTTAAATATGCAAAAGTCTTACTATTCATATCAAAAATTTAATTTATAGTTGCTGCATTCTAAAAATTTGCAGGAACCCTGTATTTGTTCACTAACAATGTATTCTAAAAGAAAATTAATTTGTGTATACATTACTTCTGTACACATATACTCACTTCTATTTCCTTACAAATGATTGACACTATTTTTTCCTTGAAAAATCCACAGCACAAACACAAGTATTTACTAAAAACTTATTTTTGAAGAATTCATAGTAAACTAAAAATAATTTCAAGTCACAGTATTATCAGAACTGAGCAAACTTTTATCTCAGAATAATCTGATGCTCAGTATTTATACCATGCAAGATTAGACTTGCATAAACCAGCAATTTATCTCATTGAAGCAGTAATGTTAGGAACTAAGTATCAGCTGTACTGACAAATAACTGAAAAATCTTTCATCCTGTAAAAAAAAAAAAAAAAAGTAAAAAAAAAATAATGCATCGAAGTTCACAATTCAGTGAATCCAATTCTATGAATAAAAAAAAATCCTACACAAGGTATTTATATTAAATGAACTGGCTTGCCAGATAAATACATACATCTACTCTGGAACTACTTAACTGCTTTGTTTATGTAAACATACATACAGTGTTTGTATAAACAGTGACACAATCTGGCCATTTATAAAAATAAGTAAAAAAATGATGGAAGATTAAGGTCACAATCTGTGTGTCAGAATTATAAGCCTGTTTGATTCATCTAAATATATGTTTATTATCACAAAGTAAAGTATCAAAGCACTCCTTAATTTAGGTTTCACTTTACACAAAAAAAAGCCTCAGTTTAGGTTGCCTTCTGTGGTTTGACCTCTCTAGAGGATGTCTAGTTCACCCACTAACACACACATGCACAAATCACTTGTTTAGAAAATTAACCAGTTTCTTTGCAAAATCAAGGAAAAGAACATGCAAAAGCACTGAAGTACTAGTTGTCCAGGGAAAAAAAACCCACAGAATCAAACATTACTGAAAATTGATAAATAGGACATTGTTTAATATTGTATAAACTATAAAAATCATAATAGTTTAATATTCCCTTAAAATAATTTAATCACCCATTTTGCATGAAGTGGTTTTTAAAATATATGCCTACTTATGTTTTCATATATTTTTTAAAATGTACGTTTACAGAGTGCATTTAGCCAAAAGTTTTTCAGTATATTGCATAGGCACAAGCATTTCCCTGAAGGAGGACAAGAGAAAAATAAAAATCACGGTTTTTTCATCTGTTACTGTTTTGTGTGCATTTATTCAAATACAGCACACAATAGGTTTCCAAGGTTAATATATGCTTCAGTCTTGCACTTACATTTCAAAAGTTTGTTTCCCAAATTCATAAAGGGTCAAAAAAATTCTTTGCACAACTCTACTTAACATTTTTCAAACAGAAGTTACACTGCAAATATGCCCCCTTGGTACCACGGTGACTAACGTATGCTTAACGAAATTGTTTTCAAATCCAGAGACTTAACATAGCTTGAAATGAAAGCAGCTTTGAACAAAAAGAATGTAGGTGATTCTAAACATCCAAAATCAGAAGAAAACTACAGAATAAAGCTTTTAATTCCTTTAGAAAAATACTAACCTGTTTTCTGAACTAGATGTAGAAGTACTAGATGATGACAATGTATGAGAATTTGACATGCGTGAGACAAACTTCTGGATGGTGTTACGAGATGGAGCTTTGATCCTCGAGCTACGCCTACTGTGATATTTCTGGAACAAACTCTCAACCTAACATCAGAAAAAGATAGCAACAGTCGTATTTATGCTATGAATAGCTTGCAGTATGATTGTAGTAGTATTACTGAAGCTTAACTACTGCTAAAAAATTATTCAGTCACAATAATGCATTAGCAGTAGCAGCAGGCATTTCAGAAGTCTGACTAATACATAGATCACAAGAAACAATTACAGTAGAAAATTATTTGCTTATTAAAAATAAATAACAGCTTGAAGTATACACACAATTACCTCTGAAGACTCTTGTTCTGCTTACATTTCAGCTAATCCATGACGGATATACAAATTTGAGTAGACAATCCAAGATTTGAATCACTCACTAAACTACAGCTTTCTACTATTCTTTTAGTTATGCCTTTTATTTGTAGCTATTTTTTTTCTACTTACAGAGCTCTCAGACTGAATTAAAGATGTAATTAAAAACATATATTCTTATTGCTTTGCAAAGCCAAAGTATTCAGCATTTTTAAGATAATGTTCTAACAACTTATATCTGCAGTGTATTTTAGATCTGCTATTAGATCTATTAGAAATCCATTACCTCAAAGTTCTTCAACGTCTTTCTCCAGAGCATAGGGTCTGAGGGTTCAAGCTGGAACACCCGCAGCATAACAAATAGCAGATGAATACAAAACGTCCCACGGCCGCAGCTACAAGTCTGAAGAGAAAAGTATATGCTAAGGCCCTGCTAAAGTTTGAATGTTACACAGATAATTTTTCCACATTTAAATGAATCATAAAATATATACTACCCATGCTCCCCCTGAAAAAAAAAAAAAAGTAATTTATGCAAAATATTTTGTATCTAGGCATAAATATCTTTTTATATGGCCTTATAGAAAATATGAACTCCCAAAACATTATTCAGGAACACGTATGAAAAAGCAGACTATTATCAGGGACCCAACTCAAATGCCTCTATGAAAATGTGCATGGCATGGAGAATAAACAAGAGGAGCTAGAGACATCTGCACACCTGCAGGGCTACAATCATACAGGCATCACAGTGACATGCTGTGGTAGCTCCTACAACTGGAGTGTTGAAATGGAAGGATACAGGCTCTGTAGGAAGGACAGGCAGGAAGGACAGGAGATGAGGAAGGGGTGTCACCTTCCATGTCAGTGACCAGCTGAAGATGGATGAGGAGCCAGTAGAGAGCTTATGGGTCAGGAATAACAGGAGGAGAGGGACAGGAGATGTTATAGTGGGGTTCTGCTACAGGCCACCCAACCAGGAAGACCAAGTGAATGAGGCCCTCAATAGATAGAAGCAGTCTCACTTTCACAAGCCCTGGTCTTCATGGGGGACTTCAACCACCCCAATAGATGTTGGAGGGACAACACAGCAGGGCATAAGCAATCCATGAAGTTCCTGGAATGTGTTGATGGTAAATTCCTTCTCCAAGTGATAGAGGAGCCAATGAAGGAAGGTGCTATGCTGGACTTTGTTCTCACAAGGAGGGGCTGGTGGGGAGTGTGAAACTCAAGGGCAGCCTTGGCTGCAGTGACCATGAAATGGTGGAGTTCAAGATCCTTAAGGTGGCAAGGAGGGTGCACAGCAAGCTCGCTACCCTGGACTTCAGGAGAGCAGACTTGGGAAAACTAGGGAAAACGTAGGCCCTTGCTGGAAGAAAAAGGGAAATTTGGTCCCCTGGGCTATGGAGAAGGATGAGATACTCAACAAATTTTTTGCCTCAGCCTTCACTGGCAAGGGCACCAACCACACCACCCAAGATGCAGAAGGGAAAGGTGGGGACTAGGAAAATGAAGAACTGCCCACTGTAGATGATCAGGTTGAAGGCCATTTAAGGAACCTGAAGGTGCACAAGTCCATGGGACCTGATGAGATGTATCTGTGTGTCCTGAGGGAACTGGTAGATGAAGTGGCTAAGTCACTATCCATCATATTTGAGAAGCTGTGGCAGTCTGAAGAAGTTCCTACTGACTGGAAAAGGGGAAACGCAACGCCCACTTTTTAAAAAGGGAAAAAAGGAAGACCCAGGGAACTACAGGCCAGTAAGTTTCACCTCTGTGCCCAACAAGATCATGGAGCAGATCCTCCTGGAAATGATGCTAGTGCACATGGAATACAAGGAGGTTATTGTTGACAGCCAACATGGTTTCAGTAAGGGCAAATCATGCCTGACAAATTTTGTGGCCTTCTATGATGGGGTTACAGCGTTGGTAGATAAGGGAAGAGCAACTGATGTCATCTACCTGGACTTGTGCAAAGCATTGGACACTGTCCTGCACAACATCCTTGTCTCTGAATTGGAGAGACATGGATGTAGTGGATGAACCACTCAGTGGATAAGGATAGTGGCTGGATGGTTGCACTCAAGAGTGGCAGTCAACAGCTCAATGTGAAGAGCAGAGATGAGTGGTGTTTAACATATTTTTTGTTGACATGGACAGTGGGGTTGAGTGCATCCTGATCAAGTTCACCAGTGTCACCAAGCTGTGTGGCGTGGTCAACATGCTGGAAGGAAGAAAGAGGGACCTGGACAGGCAGGCCTGTGAAAGCCTCATAAAGTTCAACAAGGCTGAGTGCAAGGTCCTGACCACGGGTTGGGGCAATTCCAAGCACAAATACAGGCTGGGCAAGAATGGGTTTAGAGCAGCCCTGTGGAGAGGACTTGGGAGTATTACTGGTTGGAAAACTGACTATGAGACAGCAATGTGTGCTTGCATCCCAGGAAGTCAACAGTGTCCTGGGCTGCATCAAGAGAAGTGTAGCCAGCAGGTTGAGGGAGGTGATTATTTCCCTCCACTCTTGTGAGACCCTTCCTGCAGTATTGTGTTCAGCTCTAGGGCCCCCAACAAGAAAGACATGGAGCTGTTGGAGCAAGGCCAGAGGAATGCCACAAAAATGATCAGACCTCCCTTATGAGGACAGACTGAGAGTTGGGGTTGTTCAGCCTGGAGAAGAGAAGGCTCCAAGGAGACCTTATAGCGGTCTTCCAGTACTTAAAGCGGCTACAGGAAAGGTGGGGAGGGACTCTGCATCAGGAAGTGTAGGGATAGGACGAGGGGTAACAGTTTTAAACTGAAAGAGGGTGGATTTAAATTAGATATGAGGAAGAAATTCTTTGCTGTGAGGTGGTGAGGCACAGGAAGATGTTGCCCAGAGAAGCTGTGGCTGCCCCCTCCCTGGCAGTGTCCAAGGCCAGGTTGGACAGGGCTTTGAGTACCTGTTGTAGTGAAAGATGTCTTTGCCCATAGCAAGGGGGTTGGAACTGGACAATCCTTAAGGTCTCTTCTGATTGATTACAGAAGCTTTTACTTGACTTTTTTTTCAATTTTTAATGTTTGTAAAAATCAACTGAACGTATTTCTATGCTTCACACTAAGTAATTTAAGCATAATTTAATCATATATCCATAACATGACAGCAGACATAAAGGAGATACTTCTGTTTACTCAAAAACCTAGATGTTCCCCAATGCAGCATGACATCAGTACTATGAAAGTCTATGAAAAGGACCTTGCTATGGGTATTAATGAAATTAGTACACCATTAAATGAATTATGTCAAGTGCTTCTCATTTATATATATATATATATATATATATATACATATATATATCTCCCATTAATAGAGCAAATAAAGTGTTTCAGAGTGAGAAACTAGAAAAATGAAGTGACCAAATTTTAATCAAAAATACTTAAGACATATCGAGGCACTTCTAGGAAAGAGAAATAGATGGGACAACAGTAATTACTTTCAAACTAGAGGTGTTTTGAGTTTGGTTTTTTTTTTAAAGAGAAACTTTAGACAAAACTAATATACTTTACATATTTGTCAAAATACAAGCTGATCATTACATTACATGAGCACAGATTACAACTTTTAAACATTACAGAACTGTTATAATGGGTTGGTGATTAACTTGATCTAATTTGCTTTTGAACTGTTTTCTAAGATTAACTGTAAATAAAAGCTACAGACAACACAAAGACAGTCTCTACCTGAGGCCCAATAAACACTCTGTATTTATTATCAGGGCTGTCTCCTCCAATTAAGAAAGAGTTGGGTCCTATCTGCTGCAGCAAGTACAGCCTGGCTCGCATAACTTTGTTGACACGACGACTTGTTTCCTCAGGGCTGTATGGAGAGAAGCCATCTGGAGATGGGGCTCGTCGAGGTGGTGTTATTCGTCCACTCTGAAACTACATGAGCAGTTCCATCATAAGCATTTCCAGGACAACAGTAAGTTTAATTAGGTGGGGGGTGTTTGTGTTTGGGGGTTTTTGATTGGGTTTTTTCTGGGGGGTGGGGAGTATCTTTCCCCCACAAATGACAAAGTCTCTGAAACCACTACAATCTTCTTAGACTGTATGACTCTTCTTCCATGCCCAGAACTCAAAGACAGAAGAAAAACTGAAATTAACAAAGAAAATCAATCACGTAAAAGCGGATCAAAGGTTAAATTAGATAGTTTGGTGGGTTGTTGTGGTTTTGGTTTGAACTTTTCCACTTCTCTTGTCAAAAGGAAAGAAGATGTGCTGCACTGCTGTAACTTACGATATTTGGTTCTAGTTCAGAGGCATGGTAGTACCTATTGATTTTTGGAAACCTTGTTTAGAGCAATGAGACAGTAAAACCAATGAGTGCTTACTCCTACTCTAACTGGACTGTGAAGTTATAGACAAGTAAACTGAAGCTTAAGTGTTGATGAGAATTCTTATAACAAGCAAACCCAACAGATGTTATTGCTCAAAACATTATACTCTTGATCATCTTTAATGAAGCCACTTACTATTGCTCAAAACATTCTATTACAGATATTTTCAAATGTAACAATAGAAACGTTAGTCCTCTAACAATGCACATGCCTAAATCTTCCCTTATTTGTACATAAAGATCAGTTCTAGAATAGAGAACCACAGATAGCATACCAGTAACACTGTTCTGCAGGAATCTTAATGCAGTCAACAATCCTATCCACAACAGAATATACCTGCCTACAGAACAGGCAAAAACTACAGGGGAGAAGACCAAACTACTAACAGCTCTTTATGCTAATCAAGCTAAGATAATATATATGTCTTCATGACTAAGTATTTGTATTTCTTCATTTATTTCCTAGAAATAAAAATTGAAAACAGGACTGAATTAAAAAGAATACACACACATAAGAGTAGAGTATAAATTCCACACATGAGAAAAGTAACATGAGATATGCTTTGTGTATCTCACTCAAGTGGTACCCTGTCATTGGCATCTTGCTCTACACAGGGACAATTAATTGCCTCCAAAAGCTTAAGATTGCAGAACATAACTACATTAAGAATTACATCACAGTTTGCAACTTACAGGCACTGGAGATACTCTTTTTCTTCTAACACCCGGTGATTCAGATTTAACTGTCCTAGAAGATGATGAAGAGGAGCTACTAGGAGAAGGACTACGTCTTCCTTTCTGTGTAGGTGAAGAAGCAGTGCTCTGTCCTTCAGCTTGAGGTTCTAGAGAGAGTTTGTTCATTTCCAATCCATCTCCTTTCCCAGGGATAGGTTTTACCACCTTGAAGAAAATAAACCATGTGTTAGAATTACAAATTGATCTCTTACAAAATAACCTTTTTTCCCCGTCCATCGGTGCTGCTTATCTTAGTTGTGCCAGCATTTTATTTGATTCTCAAAGTACTTCTGTAATTGTCAATCATGGTATCTTAAAGGACAGCATTTCCCCCATTTGGATAGTAGGAGCTAAAAGATTCTTTTTCTACAGGCATTGTCTGCTTAATAATAGCTATAACACTGTATTCATCTGTTATATCCAGTAAATTCCAAGAGCTGACTTTGACTTGTTTAGGCACCTGCTTGACAGAATCCCTTGGGAGATGGTTCTGAAGGGTATAGGGGTCCAGGAAGGCTGGACACTCTTTTAAAAGAAGACGACTTAATGGCACAGGAGCAGGCTGTCCCCAGGTGCTGTGAGAAGCCAGAGCCAGAGAAGACCACCCCGGCTGAACAGGGAGCTTTGGCTGCAACTCAGGGAGAAAACAGCCTTTGGAAGAAGAGGTTAGCCACTCACAGTGATTACAAAGATGCTGTGAGGCTGTGCAGGGCAGAAATCAGGAGGTCTAAAGCCCAGCTAGAAATTAATCTGGCTTCAGCAATCAAGGACAACAAGAAATGTTTCTGTAAGTACTTCAACAGCAAAATAAAGACCAGGGAGAGCCTCCATCCCCTGCTAGATGAGGCAGGAAACATGACAAGTGATGAGGAAAAGGCTGAGGTGCTTAATGTCTTCTTCACCTCAGTCTTTAATAACAATACATTGTATTGAGGGAATCCAGCCTCAGTCACAGCATTCTCCCAGCAAAACTGTCTGCTCGTGACTTGGATGGGCACACATTTCACTGGGTAAAAAAATCAGGCTGGATGGCCGGGCCCAAAGAGTTGTGGTAAACGGAGTTAAATCCAGTTGGTGGCCGGTCACGAGTGGTGTCCCCCAGGGCTCGGTTTTGGGGCCACTCCTGTTTAACATCTTCACTGATGATCTGGATGAAGGGATCGAGTGCACCCTCAGTCAGTTTGAAGATGACACTAAGTTGGGTGGGAGTGTTGATCTGCTCGAGGGTGGGGAGGCTCTGCAGAGAGACCTGGACAGGCTGGAGCCATGGGCTGAGCCCAACTGCAGGAGTTTCACTAAGGGCAAATGCCGGGGGCTGCCCTTGGGCCACAACAACCCCCAGCAGCGCTACAGGCTTGGGGGGGAGTGGCTGGAGAGCTGCCAGTCAGAGAGGGACCTGGGGGCATTGATTGACAGCCGGCTGAACAGGAGCCAGCAGTGTGCCCAGGTGGGCAAGAAGGCCAATGGCATCCTGGCTTGTGTCAGCAATAGCGTGGCCAGCAGGGACAGGGAAGGGATCTGACCCCTGTACTCGGCACTGGTGAGGCCGCCCCTCGATTCCTGTGTTCAGTTTTGGGCCCCTCACTACAGAAAGGACATTGAATGACTCGAGCGTGTCCAGAGAAGGGCAACGGAGCTGGTGCAGGGTCTGGAGCACAGGTCGTACGGGGAGCGGCTGAGGGAACTGGGGGGGTTTAGTCTGGAGAAGAGGAGGCTGAGGGGAGACCTCATCGCCCTCTACAGCTCCCTGAAAGGAGGGTGCAGAGAGCTGGGGATGAGTCTCTTTAACCCAGTAATAAGCAATAAGACAAGAGGAAATGGCCTCAAGTTGTGCCAGGGAAAGTTTAAACTGGATATTAGGAAGTATTTCTTTACAGAAGGGGTTGTTGGGCATTGGAATGGGCTGCCCAGGGCAGTGGTGGAGTCCCCATCCCTGGAGGTGTTTAAGAGTCACAGAATCACACAGAATCATCTATGTTGGAAAAGACCTTGAAGGTCATCTAGCCCAACCATTACAGTCGTGTTGACATAGCACTTATGGATATGGTGTAGTTGGGAACTGTCAGCGTAAGGTTAACGGTTGGACTAGATGATCTTCAAGGTCTTTTTCTAACCTAGATGATTCTGTGATTCTGTAAATATCAGTTGAGAAAAATAGGGGTTGCTATTTCTGCAGCACAAACCCTCACTGCAAAGGAGAAGTTACTTCAAACCTGGAGGCAATGCAGCAAACTTAAGGTGTGCTGTGCCCTGGAAAAAACATACCTGGGTTTTTTGCCTTGCCATACAAGTAAAACAGCTGCACCAAATCTAGTATCTGAGCTAAACACTGTGCACAGTGCTACACTACATGAACAGACATATGTGCTCAAGCAGAGAGAGAACACAGATTTCTAATACAGTACTTTTTTGCATGAACACTGAATTTTGACACTGAGGTATGGAATATTTCCAGACAACTTTCAGGTGCCGGCCTCTCAGACCCACATAATGCATGAGAAGAGTAAGGCTGCTGGGAATCAAATTAAAAGCAGTCACAGCAGGCAGATTCAGTTTTAGTTCTACATTTTTCCATGTCCTAGAGGCTTGACTCAAAGCTGGAAGGAAGCTTCAAATAACACTTCAGATTAAGAGAGCAGACCTCTACTAGAAGGCTGCCATGGTCTCTAGTTTAGGCAAAAAATGGAAGAGACTTTTCCTGTTCGGGCTACAGGGAGGAAGAGACATCCAGACTCAGTGTCCTTCTACCTGGTGATTTGTACTGCATCCACAAGGTTAAATGCTATTTTAAACTGAAGCATTTAATTCATCCAACTGAAGCTTTTCCACTATTGAGAAATGCATTTCAGTTTCAGCAAGCTACAGGAAGAAGAGGACAATAAGGATGTTGTGGTCTAGCAATTAGGCATTGCCTAAAAGAAGAAAAACTTGCATTTACAGCCTTGATCAAGTACTGCTCATTTTACTTTTAAGTCATCATATTTAACCTATTGCAAATCTGAACTTTTCAGAAACCTTTGTTGCTTTATTGCTATACAATTATGAAAGTGAACAGGATCAAAGAAGTACAAAAAGTAGTGCAGCCTTTTCTTCCTACTGGCTTTTTCTTTTCTGGAAGGTCAGAATGCAAATTCATGTGCCTATGGACAAGTTACAGTTACCTGCTGCCAGTGCTTGAAAACATGTAAAATGGTAGTAATTGAGAATCTGGACCATCAAAAGTTGTATTAGAGCACTCAGAAACCTCAAGGGAAGTGGGCGGAGCCAGAAAATAATTTGAAGCTATTCAGTAACAAGATGCATTTAAAAATTTTAAAATATGAACTGTTTTGTGCTATTTGAACCTTTGAGGTATTGCTTTTTTGGTACACACGTATTTCAATGTTCTTTCTCATGACAGAAAGTTACCCAACAGAACCCTCTTCTGTTCTAGAAAAGCTATCCCCAAACATTTGTATATTGCATCAGATAATCTTAGCTTTAAATTAGCACTCCCATCAAGTGCTACAAGGGAGTCTCATTGGTACATAGGAGTCACACTGACCAACGCAACTAACACTTACAGGTAACTAATGGCAATTAACCAGCATTATACAGAACAATTCTAATAGTGCTTAATAAGTTTCAGATTTGATCTTAAAACCACTTCTCAGCCATTTATATGAAAGCATTACCCAAAAAGTGAATAGAATACCCTGGCATCCAAAGTTTAGCAGGGTTGAGATTTCTGTGAAGGAGTTACTCAGTTTTAGTTTTTTCTGCTTTAGCGAGATTACTGTTTGTTTCTTCACCTAGCAAAAATTCCATACACTTCAGTTACAATACATAGAAAGCTTGAACATTTTCCAACTAAGGACAAGTGAAATCATGAAATCACTAAGAATCAAGGGAGTACAAAGCACTATAGTGCATTTTTGCACTCAAACCTCTTTTTACCTTATGAACAGGAGCTACTTTTGTTAACATTAGAGGGCAGTGTTGTCACAGTATTATTCTATACGACACAGCAGCAGCACAGCTACTGCCTTTTTCTTTAAAGATTAATAAATGCATACATTTCAGGAAGCCAGCCACAGTTTCCTGTTAAATTGCTCATAAGAAATAAACAGGAGCACCATAATTAAGAGTATGCAAACTGTTAAAAAAAAAGAGGTTCTTAAAGAAATTTAAGGGATCTTTATTTGTAATAGCTGTTAAGAGATACTGCCCTTCCATCAGTGCCACTTACCACAGGACCTCTCCTGCTTCTTCTTTCCAGCCATTCATGCTTCCAGGCTGGCATACACGTTGCCTTGAGTTTCTCCCTGATCATGCGCTCTTCTGGGCGGTCATCCATCTTCTGCAACCCCCTGAGTGTTTCTTTATTCTCCATGTCACGACTACAGCAATGAAAAAAAAACACAATTAATTTTAGTTAAAAATATAATACCACAGAATTCTTAAACTTTGTGCCATCCCGTTTTCCCTTATTCTTACAATGCAGCTGCTAAAACATTACTCCCAACTGACTACAGCAAGCCTTTTAAGTTATGACTGATTTGCTAGTCTGATGTTTGCAACATACCTGTTTTGAGGGCTATTTCTTTAAAATGTGTGTACTACTTGTAACACTGGACACCCAGTAAAAAGGAAAGTCTTCACAAATATTTAACCAATACAAAAATTACCCTGTATGTCATGCCATTCACCAAAAGTTTCACAAGTGTTGTGATGGTTCATGCATTCTTTGGCAATTCAAAGCTTGCAATCTCTATTTTAAAACAATTTACAAAATTAGTACAAACGAGTGGTGAATATTTTCCATCCTCATAGGATGCACAAACATAAAACCATGTATGTAATGCATCTTCTTATACAAGAGCCTCAAAAATCAAAAAAAGTACTTGTGAACTAATACACAGTAAGTATGTTTGAACTAAACATAGAAGTCATGAAAGCAGGGCTAGTGGCCTTGAGAGTTGCTTTCTGAGTGATGACTCAAAAGCTCTTCAAGTCAGGTATAATTATAGCAAAATTTACAGCAAGTTTGTAACTGTAAAATGAAGTGTAATCCATCTGGACTTGTACTTTTTTGACCTACAGCAAAGTAGGTGCTTGTGCTTGCTGGCAACAATAACAACAAAAAACCCACAAAAAAATACCATCAGACCCTGAAAACCAGATATGAACAGTCTGGAAGATTTCCTGATTCTGTTGAGCTATCTGCTAAATCACCAAGAAAACCACATTCTGAACCAGCAGCACATGATCCCCAACCATCTTCAAGTTAGCCATCTTTAAAAATAAGCAAGCTTAATTAAGCCATCTCTCAGAATGAAATTGTATTTCAAAAATAAAATCACAAAGTAAATTGGGATCTAAGGCTATATAATAATTTAGTTACAACCACTGCTTTCATGCATGCAGTCTTCAGCTTCTAAAACATTTAGCTACACAGTTAAGCTAAATTTATGTACTATAAGATGACCTACAACATATTCCCTGTAACATTTATTGCAATAAAATGATGTTAAAAATCAAAATTCCTATCTTCACCAGCAATGTATTACTAAGGTTCATTTACCACAAATCCCTGGTTAGAAAAATGAGAAGTTTTGGCTGGTCAGGAGCAGTCCTCTTATTTTTCTTCTCTCATTGTAGAGACAAAGGAAATAAAGTATTCTGAGGCAGGAAATAGCTCTTCCTGCTCAGTGCTGAAACTTAATAAGCAGATGGATACTGTAAACAAAATAATTTTTATTTCAAGCAACATCTAAACCTATTGTTAATAACCAATTTCAGACACTCAGAACTGTGTCTATCGATTAAAGACTTAAAAATGGTTATGAATAGAAACACAATCCACCTAAGAGTGAATGTTTTTTTAGAAGTATTAATGCTTGTTTTAATTCCAAAACTAATGCAAGTGGCATCCTTATTTTTGTCCCAGCACTGGATTCCATACTAGTCCTTTCTAGAAACAGAGACAAAAAGCCCCAGTGATAATTCATGAAAAAACAAGATATTACAGCAGCAGGTAGAGTCCAAATGGACTATGCCTAAAGTTCAAAATAGGGGAAAAACTACTGGGCAAAAAGGGTTAACTTCACATGTTTTCCTCAGTCACAAAAATCCATTCAAAGACAAAAATCTTTGCAAAAGAACAGTACAGCTCCAAAATAATATATGTGCAAGTTAAAAATATAGAGTTACTGTGCTTTTTATATTAGTTATTCCATGGCATGAACCATCTCAGTTGCACGAATACTTTGTATACAAGACAGAAAACACTATCCCAGCACTGAAAGAATGACACAGTATTTCATTTGTTCATATAACCATGATTAACTTACCAACTGATATAAAAAAAGTCTTTTAGAGGCCCTTGGACTTGAATTCATGAACAATGTAATATAACAGAAGAGGCTTCACAATCTGTGCTTGTTCTCTAAAAAGCAGAAGCAGCTATCTTCCTCTCATGTGACAGCTAAACCGATCTACTCTTGCCTGCACAAAGAACTCTTGTGCTTTTCCTCCACGCAGGTGGGAAAGACCAACCGATTCTGAAAGCTTTTGCTTAGTAAACCATGGTTATCTTTTTGCAGAATTTACATCCTGTGTATATTTTTACAGTTTCTGAAATGCTGAACACTTGATATTTTAACTCAAGCTTGGCTAGAATATTTATTAAATATTGTAATACTGTTGGATCTGTGGAAAAAATATTTTTCTATGACTGCAAAAAGCTCCTGCATACTGCAGGACATCCTCATTTCATGGCCCTGAACTTGCAGGGGTTTTAAAATTATTATTCTTTCTTTAGTCTAAAGCAAACCCCCTTGTCTATTCCAGGCAAGCTGAAGCATTCCTACATGACAATGGCTATGTTGTCAGTCACCATATCACTGTACCTTGGCACAGAAAAAATAATAAATCCAGAATGTGTTCCACCAAGGACTTGATTCTGCAGGGTTCAGAGCATTCTGATCTTCATACAGCAAAACCTATTCATGAGTCAAGGTTAACAATGTGCTTAACTCAAGTGGTGCTTTATTTGAATAGCAGAGACAAAGCTAAGGAGCAGGCCAGAAAATCAAATTTCAAAGAACACGCTAGCTCAGACCAGGGAGTCTAACATTTCTCAACAGTCTGCCTCTCTGCTTTATCAGAAAGCAAGTATTTTGCTCTTAAATGTTTCAGCTGTACATGAATCAGGCAAAAGATACAAGACCTTTTTCCAGCTAAATTTTAACTTTTAAACTTTGCCCTTCCCCAAAGGCAGCATTAAGGATCTTTTAGATTCTTTTCATTAATAGTTTTAATCCAGCCATCAGCTCCTGTACTAATAATTAAGAAATTACCAAGAAATGGTTCTGAATTCTAATTCTGAAGTAATGAGCAAACTCAGTGTGATGACCACTGTTTTTTTAATGCATAAGCTTAGTGGCCTGCACATTAATAATTGCATTAACTTTGGATTACTTGCTTCATGAACTATAAAACTAAACACAGTAAGATTAATGTACTGTATGGAAACACTCTACTGCAACACTTTGTGCAATAGGGAAGGCAAACCATTGTCCTTTGTTCCCATGTCTTAATTTTGAAGACTTACAAACAGTAATTGAATAGTTATATTAACAACTTGTTCTCTATGGATCAGTGATTCAATATTTTAGAACAAGGTATGCAGTATGGGTGTCATTTAGCAAGCTATCATGAAATACACAAGCAAGATTTACTTCTGAATAGCTCAGTGAATTTGATACTAATTCTCTGCAGGTATTTTTCTTACAAAAGGCATATAATGGTATGCAAAAGCTGAATCATAGCTCCAGTTAATAGCCCCATGCTTCTCAGTGTTTAGAAACAGTTAGATGTCTTGGTTTCTCTGCTATCTTATTTGGGCAAACAGCTTTATCCAAGTCATACTGTATCAGATTTTATTAGCAGCAGAAAAAACAGGGAAAAGGCAAGTTCTGCAATAGGAAAGAGCCAGTGCACCAAGAAAAGGGAAGCTCTGTCTGCTATATCCACAAACACCCAATCATAGGGAGGAAAAAAGTTATTAGCTGCTGAGTAAATTTATTATTGTTTTTAATTTGAAGTTAGGAAAGGTAACCAGTAGTGGTCAAACCACAGGTGACCACAGAAAACATTCATGAACATAACTGGTCACACAGCAGCTCTATCAGAATAATCAATGCATTTAACAACAGGTTGTGAGAAGGGCAGCCCCAGGTTTGATGGAAGAGCACTGAATAAGAAGGAACAAACATGGGAGAAACTGTATATTCTGATCAGTGCAAATGGTATATATGGTGACAATCCATACTGGGGACAAGTTTAAATGGGATGTACAGAGCTCATTTTGGGGACCTTAAGCAATTAAGAATATGGGCACGCAGCTATCTGCAAGTCAAGACTCAACCAGCTAGTCTGCTGGCCTGGAGGCATGCTAGGAGCAGCAGTTCGGGGAGCAGGGACAAAAGAGTGAGCCATTCCCCGAATTGAGAAGGCCAGCTGGTAGTGTTTTAGAGAATTTCTTGCCACTTACAGCTCCAGTTGTGCTCACGGTTTCTCTTTTTCCACTAAGTATTTTTAAGTGTATCAAGATCAGTAAAAAAGTCAGATCAAGATGAGCAAGGCATACATGGTCTGTCCTCCTGCCAGTCTCCCATTCCTCCTCCTCCTGATCCACTACTGCTGGCATCTATCATTAACAATTTGTCTCCATCCTAACAACGCAAAAGACCAGGTATGGCACATTCAATTAAACTGAAAAACTTCACAAGGAACTTTCTCAGTCGGTACTAAATGGCAGCAGCTGCCACTTAAAGACAGCATTGAACATGCCATTTCAGAGACTAATTAATCTGGCTTCCTAAAATAGTTACAGGGATTTTAGCCCAATGTTTTAGAAGTGTGAAACTAAGTTCTATTCTTCCATTAGAGTACCTGACAAAAAGGGAGAAAATAGCATTTCTTCCTTCTAGCTGCCTCAGCTTCTCCAAGAGCCCTACATCATCTTCCCTTCAGAATAACATAGGGTTTCTTCATTTGGCCAACACACCACCCACTGAAGCTCACAAGGAGTATTATATTGAGTGGTACTCTATTATCCACTGTTTGCCTTTCACTCACATTAAAAGATTGCCACTTTCTTATGTTAGATGAATCACTAACAAGCATTCTACATTGGAAACACCCTTCTATTTACCTCAAATAAGCTTGTATCTTCTATGTATACTTTGAAACATGAGTTATAAATATATATTTATGTTATAAAAATACAGAAAAAGCATAAATGGTGTCATTTTACCAAGTAACTGTCTTGAAAACTAGTATATCAAAGGGTGCATTTGTTAAAGAGGAAATTTCACTGCTAACAAGACAATAT